AAAAAAAAATCTCAAACTGATAAATAACGTATTTGGACATTAGTGTTGCATGCATTACATCCATCCTAGGTGCCATCCTAGACTTCTTATGTATGACATGTGTGTTCTCCCCAAATCACATCCCCATGACACCTCTGAGCAGTTTATTTTCTTGTAATGGCATGAAACCTACTTTGTAGGAAACCAGTTTTGTACAGGGATTGTTCCCTTTCCCTCCTGAAGAGGGATGTGGTTAGAAACTACTCTTAGTGCAAGTATGTTTTAATTTGGGAAGGAGAGGGTGTGGGAGTTGCAAGCAATGCCCTTACTGAAACATCCTTCAGTACAAAAGGTGCTCAGTAGCCCTAACATTTATTTTCCTTCTGCTGTATCTTCTAATAAATCAGTAAAGTAATTTTAAAAGTTATTTTACCTATCAAGAAACTACTGGGAATTCCTTTCTCAGATTACTATTTTTCTGCCTATCTCTGTTAACAATGTACTAAGGTGATTACCTGAAGCCTCTGATTCTTTTGTTGCCTAGTTTCATCAATCTATTGGAAACTGTGAGGAAACCTTCCTGCAAGGATGACTAACCTATGTGTGAAATAATCAACCTGACTGAGAATAAATTTTGTATGAATAAATGCTGAAGTCTTCTTTTAAAAGTGTAATCGGCAAACTTGACACTTCAGTTAAATGGGAGATGGAAAAGCCCAAGCAATGGACCCCATCCACTAATCCAACAGTCTTTAATTTGTATTGAAAAGTTTGTGTGTCACTTATATTCAGTAAATCTGTCTTACTCTGTCACATAACTTGGCATGAATATAGTAATTTGGCAATGCTTTTGATTTGGGTTGTTGTTCATTTGCTATAGTTTTTGTGATTCTTCTCCCAAACTGATACAATGTGAAGACTGGCAGGTATCTAGCAGCCTGTCTGGACTGTATTGGAATGAGAAGTGTTAGTCAGTCTCTTGTTCAAGAGTGGCAAGATAGATGCAGAGCTTGTTCTCTTTTTATGATGATGTAGAAATTTGCCCAGAGGGGCAATCCAGTGATGAGCCATTAGGTTGTTACATCCACTTTTGGCCAAGGGTTTGGACCACTTTACGGGTAAAAAGCTTCATATCCCATATTCATAACTCCTGAATAGGCTTAAATCCTTTCCCTTCTTTTTGAGTTGGAAGAAATCTAACCAAATACTTGTATTTGTCTTCACCTTTCCCCTTTTCTCTTTATTCTTTTGCTATGACTGAAGACAACTGGTACTTCACTACGTCTTCAACATGAGTTCTACTCCATGCTAGTAGAAGGATCAGATAGGAAGATGTTTGCCACTACAGTTCTGTGATCAAACTAATTATATCAATTGTTTTTGCAGATGTGCTCTATACTGGGACAGCTGATGGGAAGATTATCAAAATTGAAGATGGGGAAGTGCACACAGTAGCCAGAATTGGCCATGGTCCTTGTGGTGAGTGACAGCTTCTGAACATAATGCACCTGGAAAAGCCTAGGTCAGGGCTTGTGTTGATTAAACTGGTGTTCTGTCTGAATTGGTCATGCACGTGTATATATTCTTCTGTAGAGATTTGTAACAGAAATATTAATATATCTGTACAAATTAGGTGTGAGTGGAAATGTGTGTTTAAGCACAGGAAGGAACAGCAGAACAAAGGGCCAAAAGAATGGGAATAGGGGCTCTTGATAACAGAGGACACTGTTGCCAGCAATAAAATTTAGGAATGCAGGATTTTTATGTCATGACTACAAGGCCTGCTGCATGGGTGACTTGGTAGAAGATCCTGCACCTTAACACTGAGAGGAAGATGGGGTTGAAGTGCATCACAAGTAACATTGCTTTTCCTATTAGTCCATCTAGAAAAAGCACGTATCCTAAACAAGAAAAAAAAGGGCATCAACTTGGCTTAGTATTTGTGGAAGTTGTAGTCAGCAATATTCTGAGGTGAAGGGCCACCACATAAAAACTGAGGGCTTGTAAACAAGTGTGAGTGAATGAATTTTGAGATAACATGTGAGTGGGAAAGACTGACTTATTTAGAAATATTTGTAAATAAATATCACCTTCCCCATCTACAGAGCTTTCCCTTGAATTTTGTTGTACTAATTTTTTCTTCCTCTGTTTGTAAGTACAGTGGGGGTTTATGGTGGCTGCACCTGCTTTAGAGGAGATTTTCCATTGGCCATGATATTCCTATATTCTTACCACTAAATTGGAGATACTTGTTGAATTCCACATGTATTTCAGAACCACTTCCTTGCTTCATTTAATGAGATTTCTGGAAACAAGTGAAAAAAACTGGTAGTGACTTGTGTATTAACAGAACCATTTCTATGGGGTAGCTTAACATTGGGATCTCAGTACTGTCCAGGGAGTCTGAGGAGCCTGGCTAGAGTGCACTGGGACTGTGGGTGGTTTTGTTTACAGTAACAGTGTAGAAGATTACATGAAGTTCTGCAGCCCTGTGCTGGCTACCAGTTAGAAATGATGGACAGGAACTGTTGCTGTCTTAGGTGGTTCACATTGACACATTTGTGGCTTTAGCTGTGTGATTTCACGTCGGTATTGACATGGTCAGGCCCTGGACTGATTTGGAAGCACTGTCTTGGCTGCCTAATAGGTTGGACAGTCTTGGCACTGACATCCAACAAAGTCTGCTGCCAGCTGATAGGAAGCTGGACTTCCAGCTGCTGCTTAGGCATGAATGTGGATTGGGATGGATGTGAAGAATCACCTTTCCACTGCTCATTTCCATTGGACTTGTTCACCTTGGGAGTGGTGAGAAGATTATGCTGCCTTATTTCTTTAGGACCAAAGACATAGTGAGGAGCCTGGGCTTCCATCTTGCCCTCCCTTGGGTTGGAGAAGGAATTTGAAAGGCTGCAACTGACTGCCTTTTCCAGAAGTTTCTCCTGTTGATTTTTCAAACTACAGATTCTAGTGCTTCTGAATGTCTAAGGTCTTCATGACTCCAGTAGACAAATTTTTCAGATTTGCAGCATTCCCCTTTCTCTGAAGTCTTCAATGTTTGTGTGTCAAGAAACTGGCTGTTTCATGACAGTGTTAGACCTTCCTAGAAAAACAGTTCCGAGATGTGCATGTATTTTTGTTTTCTTTTGAAAGGAAAAAGAAACCTGCAGTAAAAGTGTTTCTTTCTGAGAGGCAGCATTTAGTTATATTTTCTGACGTTCAGCCCTACTTGGACCAGCTGTTAGCTAGCTATCAGTCTGGAAAATTTATACCATTATCTCCAGGCTGGTGAAAATGTGGAGGTAGCTGGTTCACTCACACCTAGGAAAGTAAGAATAACTGAGAATCATAGAAAGTTTTGGGTTGGAAGGGGTCTTTAAAGGTCATCTAGTCCAACCCCCCTGCAGGAAGCGGGGATATCTTTAGGTCAAGTTGCTACTTCTCTACTGAGTGTGTGTGGTGCTGGCTGTAGAGTTTTGTTAAGCTGCAGTTTGACCTATTTAGGTAGCCTGAATGCCTTGTATTTATGTCTATTTAGAAAACCATTTTTAAATTGTTTCCCAAGGAACCCGTGAAGATGAGCCAACGTGTGGAAGACCACTCGGTATCAGAGTGGGGCCAAATAACACACTCTTTGTGGCAGATGCTTATTATGGAATCTACGAAGTTAATCCTGGTACAGGTATGACTTTTCTGTTCAGAAGTTCTCTTCCAGTGACAAATCTGGGCTTCATTTGCAGTTTTGCCAGACACTGCAGGCAAAACAATGTCTGCCTCCTTTGTAAAGTGGTTTAGAGCTGTCAGGATGAAATATGCCGGGTAAGAACTTGGTATTTATTTTCTTGTAGCAGTCACTTCCTCTCTCTCGTCTGTCCAGCTGGATCAGAGTTATCAGTGGCTTTTCTTCTGGTGAGATATGCTTTTGGTTGTCAAAATTGGTACCTCAGGACCCATGAATAAAGCTCTGTGTGGCTGTTTCTGTTTTCATAAAGGGGAAAAATAAATACAGCTGTTACATAAACTTTTTGTCATGTATGCTGTGCTTTTGTTTCTGCCTTGATCTCAGTGTGTGGCAGTGAAGAGCTCTTAACTTTCTGTAACCCCAATCTATGGAGAGTGAAGAAAGATGTATTTTGGTGCAGCTGAAGATCAAGTGGCCTCTTTCTGCTGAGAAAGGCGCTGTTGTGTTGTGCCCTTTACTGTATGTCCCTGAGCCAGACTGCAGTTGTAGGAGCTGTGCTGTCAGAAGGGTTGGTTTTTCTGAAAGCTTATGGCTCCAGATTGGCTTCAGGTAGGGAGGGGGAGTCTAGACAAATGCTGGTGAGAGGTGGCTGATGGCAGACAGCTGCCATAGCTCAGTCCTGGCAAAGCCATGCAAATAAACAAACCCAAACCCTGTGCCCAAAGATGACTTAGTTAATTTTTTAGAGATTTGACCTTGACTTGCCTGGTAACATCTGTGGGGGCTGAATGTGCAGAACAGTTTAGTGAACTTGCTGATGTTTTAATGTTTAGAAAGTACTGCTCTTTGTTGCTACAGAGTTATGGGAAAAGAGGGAGTAGGGATTGATTTGCCTGCATCCTTCTGCAGGGCTGGGACCTGAATTTGCACTTGGTTTTATATGAGCTTCAGAAAATGAGAACTCTGGCACTTAGCACTAAGGAGCATCACCCACTGTTTCAGTTTTTCTGAAGAGGATTTTCTCCTAGTCATTCATGTTTGGTATTAAGTTGTTCCATTACAGCCCAAAACCTTATTACTTAACAGAGGCACAAATGGAAAAATAAGTGCCTGCTAATTTAATGCTAGTATTAAACTCATTTCCAAGGCAGGACTTATAAAAGCTCATATTGTGTCTTTTTTTTTATCCTTGAAAAATAATTAAGTGCCTGCTAATTTAATGTTAGTATTAAACTCATTTCCAAGGCAGGACTCATTGTGTCTTTTTTTTTTTATCCTTCTTTTTGTAACCAGGTGAAACAAAAGTGCTTGTGTCAACCAAAACACCAGTTGAAGGTCAGAAGTTGTCATTTGTGAACGACCTCACGGTGACCCGGGATGGGAGGAAGATCTACTTCACTGCCTCCAGCAGCAAGTGGCAAAGACGGGCAGGACTTATAAAAGCTCATATTGTGTCTTTTTTTTTATCCTTTTTGTAACCAGGTGAAACAAAAGTGCTTGTGTCAACCAAAACACCAGTTGAAGGTCAGAAGTTGTCATTTGTGAACGACCTCACGGTGACCCGGGATGGGAGGAAGATCTACTTCACTGACTCCAGCAGCAAGTGGCAAAGACGAGACTACCTGCTCTTGGTTATGGAGGGCACAGATGATGGGCGGCAAGTATCTCTGCCAGAAGGCATTGAACTTCTGCTAAACTCAGCTGTACGAGTGGACTTCACCACTTTTTCACTTTTTCTCTATAAAAAACTACCTGTGCAAATGTTGCACTGACCAGGAGGGGGTGAGAGAATGTGTGGATGTTGCTAATGAGACCCACAGTGAAATATATGGTATTCCTCTTTTTCCTTCAAGAAGACTTGCATGGAACATATATTTTAAAAGGGAAGGTGTTAGTGTTACATTCAGCCTCAATCCTTCATGAATGTTGCTAATCTTAAGCAGCTTAGTATTTTTCTCCTGTGTTCATAAACAAATGTTTTCTGGCTATTCAGCCTTTTTAATTTAAGTGAAGCACATGTGAGAGAAGGTAGAATCCCTGGAGAATGAAACAAAGATCAATAAATATTTGTCTTCTCTCAAAACCATATACAATGCTTTCTTTTTAGCCTGCTTGAATATGATACAGTAACAAAAGAAGTGAAAGTCTTAATGGTGGGGCTGAGGTTTCCCAATGGTGTCCAGCTCTCTCCTGCAGAAGACTTTGTCCTGGTGCAGGAGTTAACCATGGCTAGAATCAGGAGGTGAGTGTGACTTTGAAATTATTACTACTCTCTGTTTAGAGATTGTTTAAATAAATGAATTACAAAAGCAACTCTGCACTCTATTCATGCCTAGTTATCAATGGCAAAGGTAGCCTTCCTCAATATGTAATTTTTTTCTTTCACTGTAAACATCTAGACTGCATGATCTTGCCATCATGGGCTCCATGAGCACAGTGGGCTAAGCTGATGTTTTCTAAGGAGAGGAGTGTGGCTGTGCATATTTCACTGTGCCAGCATCAGGAAATGAGTAATTTTTCTTTTAAGTGAATTCCTGTTGAGACTTTTATTACTTAGACTGCTTGAGTTAAGATGTCCTAATCCTACTATCTATAACTTTCAGGTATTATGTGTCTGGGCTGATGAAAGGTGGAGCAGATATGTTTGTTGAGAATATGCCTGGTTTTCCAGATAATATCAGGTTAAGCAGCTCTGGAGGATATTGGGTAGCTATGTCAGCTCTCCGGCCCAATCCTGGATTTTCTATGTTGGATTTCTTGTCTGAAAAACCATGGATTAAAAAGATGATATTTAAGGTAAAAAAAAAAAAAAAAAGATTTTTAAAAACTCATCTATAGTATAGGAATGGAAGTGATCAATATTTGTTTCTCCTGTTTCTGCCTCTTCACAGGAAGATTCTTTTTTTAAGTTTTATAGTGCTGTGGTTAAAACTGTTGTGGTTGTTCCCAGGAAGAACAGTCCTTATATATATTCATAGCTAGTTAAACTAACATTTGCTTCTCTGAGTAGCAGGTACACATGTATTAAAGTTGCCTTCCATCTTGATCTCAGGAAAGAAAAAGAGCCTATCTCTGCCCTAGCTGTGCGGCAACACAGGATCTACATTTGGATATGTGAAGACTTCACCTTTGTACCTGAAGTACCTAAACTACTTATTGGCAGGTGTCCAGAGAGCATTTGGGAAGTCTGACCTACTCTGACTACCCTAGGGATCCTAGGAGACCATGTGTATGTTGTGTATGCTGCTAGGTGATACTTTGCTCTGACGCAGTATGGCTGTTGTTATGTCACACTCCCCTTTAGGATGAGGACGAGCAAGAATGATGTGTTTTGTAAGGGATATCTGATGCTAAAGGAATGGCATGGTGCTTTTTAGATAATAGAGACTTGAAAATGCTTCTGTTCTCAAAAAGAAAAATCAACAAGCAGTGTTAAGCATGGAAGTGCTATTTCAGCTAAACAAGCTCTATGCTGTCCATGTAGAACCTGTTGTCTCTCCTGGTGCAGTGCAGGAACCTTCACAAACTGATGTTATGGGGAGCAGTGATGTTATCTGCTGCTTGGCATCAACTGCACCAGAACAAGCTGATGTCTCCTGCGTGGACATCCTTTCAGCCTAGTGCAGGAGTAGAGGATGCTTCTGCTGGTCTTTTTTGTCTTTTTTTTTTACGTTGGCTTTTCAGGTGTTAATGTGTTAAGCCTGTGTAATAGTGTTTACTCAGAACGTGTGCCTCTGTTCTTAGCTGCTTCTTCCAAAGAGTGTGGAATGGTCTTTGACTGTATACGTGTCTGAGATCTAATAGTGGAGAAAAAAAGTCTTTTGTTGTTAATTTTGTGTTTTTCTTTTTCTTTCAGTTGCTGAGTCAGGAAACTGTGACAAAGCTTGTGCCGAAATACAGCCTCGTTATTGAACTCAGTGAGACAGGATCCTACAGGAGAAGCTTTCATGATCCCAATGGAGTGACAGTGGCGTATGTTAGCGAGGCACATGAGCACAATGGATATCTTTACCTGGGCTCCTTCCGGTCTCCCTTTATTTGCAGACTTAATCTTCAGGATGTTTAACTGTCCATCCATGATCAAGTGCCACTGTCCTGTAATCCTCTAGAGGTACAAAGGAAGTATGTGCTCGAGGCAACGTGTGATCAAGGACAGAAAGTCTGTTAATGTGCAGCAGGACTGTTCTCTTGCCATAGGAAGATGTACAGCTTGCTGTACTTGTCCTGTTCCTTGGTTTGGCTGCTCTTGCTTTGGAGTTGGCATGCATAATTATTAATATCTGAGAAGTGTGGTGGGGCATCTTCATATGGTTATGTGGTCCCTAAAGAAAATCCTTTGCTTTTCCACAGCCACTCCTGTTTGGAGTCATCTTAAACAGAAATCATGTCACCTTTAATGCAACTGTATTGCTTCTTACACTGGAAGGATTTGTGATGTATGGAATTTAATTGTGTATGATTTGGGTTGAAAAGGGCATCTCATGTGCTTATTTCTGTTGTAGAAACTCCTGTTTAGGAGTGGTGATAGTGCATGTTCTAATGTCATACCATGGTGCTGTGGCAGAGGCAGCAATATCCAGAACATGCCTAGAAATCTAGTTACACCATTTGGGTTTCTTCAATTCCAGCCTGTGTAATCAACATCAGACACTACAATTAACTGTTAATCAAAATGCAAAATCAAATTTGATCCTTATCTGTGGACTCCTGTGTTTCTTTATAGCATTGTACACAGATGATGAATGAAAATTGCATTTTCTATGTTATTAAAGGCTAGTTCCAGTGGGTTTTAAAAAGGTCACTTGTAGTATTTCCTCTGTGTTTACCAGGTCCTGTAAGTCTTTTACTCATTTTTTAAGTGGCCATTGCTGAGATACGTGGGAGGAAAGAGGGACAGTTGCAGGAATCCTCTTCAGTATGCTGGCAGTGATCTGGAGGAAGGTTGATGTCTGAAGAGGAATGTGGACTGAAAGAGGTCCTGTAAAACCTAGTAAGAGTGGATGAAGAAGTCTTTGAGAAAAATTTTGGAATGTGTTAGTAGCTCATGGATGCTTTCTGACATCTCCAGAGGAAATGTTTTCCTTCCTCTGTTAACAGATACTCTGCTTGGTAAATCCAGAGAATGCTTTTCTGTCAACTGCTAGAAAGGGAAGGCTGTGTTGATACACTTTATTTAAAAGGTTTTGCATCTTGAAGAACTAAAGGGGTTACTTCAGCAGCTGTGTGATTTGGTGGGTTGATTCGTGCTTTGGGGTTGAAGACTTTGCTGCTCTCTCTTTTTCTGCCACTGGGTGATAGTCAAACATAAACTTACACTATTGCTCAAGTTCCTCAGCTCTGAAAAGGGAATAATGAAGATTTGCTTGCTATGCAATGAAAAGCACCAGTGATGGGGAAGATGATGTTAAAAATGTCATCTGCTTTCACTGGCCTTCTGCACTTCTCTTTATTAATGGAGGGTGATACAAGTTAAAGTGATTATTTCCTGCCAGTGCTTCTGCTACATTGTATTGTGTTACTACAGCACTGCAGCAGTCTTGTGGCAAGTAGCTCATGGTTGCTGGCTCAGGCTGACTTGTTCCTGTGCAGGCCAGGAGCTGTGGTGGTTATGGGATTTGGGAGGGGGCTCAATAAGAGGCAAAAGAAGCTTAATAAATGTGTTGCTGCAAGCAACCTTTGGTCCAGCTGAGCCCTATTGGAATAGTTTGTGGACAAAGATGGAGTGATACTGAGATCTAAGTTTGAAAGGCTGGAGAGGTGGGACTGGCCAGGGGGAAGACAGACTTATTCCTGTGGGAACTCTGAAGAAGGGCTGAGAATGGGATGTGCTTGAAATGTCTCCTTCTGTGAAAACACAGAACAGGGCAGGGTGTTTAAACAGCAGCTATTTGTCCCATTCTGGTGGGATGTGAAAGCTGAACTTGATGAGATCTTAAATTGGGATTGCAGAAGCAAGTCTTGTGGGTTTTGTTTCATGCTGATGCTTTGGTAGCCCTGGGACAAGCATGGCTTTGCCTGTTGTTGCAGTTTGATTCATTTGCCAAATTATCTGAGTGACTTCTGCTCTTTTTTGTAGTAGACCTCCACTCCTTTGGCATGCCGAATGTGATGGCTTTTATGTGACTAATTCCATTTTAAGACACTGCCCCTGAAGTTATGAAGTGGGAAAGAAAGTAAGTTGTGCTGCTGATGCTCAAGAGGGATAAGACATGTGAAAACTTGTATCTTGGGCGTTTTTCAGTTCTGATCCTTTTTCTGCTCTTCCACCCCCTCACTCCTTTCTGGTCACTGGTAGAGGCTAACTTAGTACACTGATGATCTTATGGTCCCACCAAAAAGTTCTTCAAGCTGTTTTTAGTTCTCTGTAAGCTCTGTAGCAAGTACAGCAGACCCAGAGGTTTGAAGACTAGAAATGGTTAATCATGGCAGAACTGAAGCACAAAAGCAGCTTTTCATAACCTGAAGATAGCTAATGCCCTTGTTCAGTGGGGCTGTTGCCTTCTGAGCTATTCTCTTAATCTCTGATAGCAGGGAGAGTTGTTCTGCCAAGTGCCACAGTTGGGAAAGCAGGCTGGACACTATTGAGGTGTTGGAGCTGTCTGTCTGCACAAGAGTCTTGCTAGTGGGAGAAATTTGCCTATAAAATCCAGAAAGTCAGTGGTGAAGGCTAGTGCTGTAGCATGGAAGAAGCTGGCACTTGAGTTCTTTGCTGGCCTTGGTGTCTCATAGGAGTTCAGTCACTGCTTCTCCTTTCCAGCTGATGTGTGGGTTCTTTGCTGATCAGTCCTCTCCAGCTGTGAAGAGTGGCCCACTGGAAATGACTTGAGGCAGACAGAAGGCAGGCTCTGCACTGAGGGCAGGAGGTGAATTCTGGGAGCAGAATTCCACAGAAGGGCGAGTCGATGGCATGTTACAGTTTCAGATGGATAGTGACATGCCTGCCCTGAGCAACAGGGAAAGCTGGAACAAGTCAGTCTTGGAGAAAAAAACCTCAGCTGTGACTTCTCTGTTGATGGTATCAGTGGAGGAATGTGACACCTTGGCAGCCCCGAGGCTGGCTTTTCTATGGAGGGGACACATCACCCCTCTGGCAGAAGCAAGAGCATCTACAGCAGCATCCAAAGATCTTGTCAGGGCAAGATTGTTTTTTGGTGGCAGGAGAAAGGGGCTGTGGTTGCCAAAGAAGGGAGGAAACACTCTCTGCACAACTCCCAGAGGAGCCCAAGGGTGCTTACTATGTCTTACCCAAGGTCCTTTTTATGACAAACTGTATAGCGTGTGGGAGAACAGAGCCCTGTCTTCTGAAGAGCTTGGGGAAATCTCTGCTTTACTGTAAAACCCTGCAGTAAAAACAGCCTAAGGAAAAGGAACTGAGCTGGAGTACACCACAGGTGTGCATTTGAAAGATGTTTTGTTTTGTCTTGGTGGAACAGATATTTCTGCAGGGCACAAATATCAAGAAGATTTTGCTGTAGTTGTTTAAAATTCTACTCCAGAGCTGACTGCCAAGTCCTCTTTCTGGAGCAAACTTCTATAGTAGAGCTGGTGGAAGATAACTCAGGTATGCCAAAGATTGGTATCTCAGTGTAAGCTGAGGAAAGTGATTACAAAGCTTTGGCATAAATCTGATTCCTTTTACATCTGAGTCAGCTTTGTGGCAGTAACCTTTGCAGATGAGGCAATAACCTCCTAAGCCTCTGGGTCTCCCTGCTCAGTGATCACAACAGAGATCTGATGATGCTGACACTTGGACCTTCTTATCTGGCTTGCTTAGAAAACAGTGCTGTGAAAGAATAAGCACATGGGGCAGCTAATTTTTGCTGCTTTGTTTGAGGTAGGAACTGAAAAACTTAGCAGTAACTGTGTGGTGTTAGCACATACCATTTGTGGGTTTTTTTGTTTAGTTGATTGGTTGGGTTTTTTTTCCCTCCCAGCCAGCAGAATTCACATCTCTTTATCTGCTGTGAGTTAAACCTTGTCTTGGTTCTGTGCAGCTACGTGCATGACTCTGCCAGCTGTCAGTGGGTCCTGGAAGTCACTTAGGTTGTAAAATTGGGTGCAACTGGTATAGAAAGCCTTTCCATTCCAGGTCCTTAGTATTCTGCTGCTGATGGGAAGAGAGTCTAAAGTGGGAAGTCTGTCAGACAGCAATGTTTTTTATTTTGGTGGCAGGCAGTTTGTTTTCTATGCAATTTAAGAAGTGTGAGAAGAAGTAATGGCATAGTAAAGCTTCTGAGCAAATGCAGATCTCCATCTGAGGATCACTGGCCACTGTGAAGCTCTGGTGAAACTCAAGCTGGGTTGGTTTGAGTAGGATTGTGGGGATAAAGGCCTCCTCAAGTGTGCAGCCAGTCTCTCCATGTGGCAGACTGTTAGCCTCATCTGAACAAGGAGCTCCCTAAGTATCCTTGTAAGCAGATAAGCCAAGGAAGCATGTCATGCACTGGTGCCAGTAATTCAGCATACTGGAGGGAAGTCTGAAGCTGAAGGAAGCCACTCCTTTGACTTGTTTGTACCCCTTCTGCATGAACCCATACCTCTGAAGCACCAGCTTTGGTTCTCCCAGAAGCTCTCAATGTCACTGCTAGGATTGTTCTTTTTCTCCCACGTCTGGGGCTTGCAGGAATAGCTTTCCTTTCTCTCCTTGTGCTCTAGTTCTTTACTAGAAATATTTGATTTTATTTAATTACTCTTCTAGTCTACAGTAGACATCAGAGCCTTAGCAAGCTCTGCAAGGGCACGAACTCCCTGGAGTGAGCTGGTAAGCTGTTAACCTTGCTGTAAATTCTAAGGAAGACGTAGAGGGCAGAGACATTGGCATTTGGACTGCTGCATGTCATTATGATGAAATGGTACTTAGCTGCAGTTCTTTGCATCAGTATCCTCCTGCTGCAGGACTCTAATTGCCCAAATCCTTCCTGAGTGAAGTGCTCTGGAGTGGTACAAAGAGCTCCATTGACTTCAGCTCTGCTCCTTTCTTTGGTGCTCATGAGAACTGTTATCTACTTGGGGGTGTGATGGATGCTGCTATTCCAGTGTGCCTGTCTTACTGTAATGTTACAGGAAACACTTTGCTGTAGCTGTAACTGTGAGGCTGATGTGTCTTTCTCAGAAGGTGCCTGTCTCCTTTGCCACTATTGGTTGCAGTGAGCTCACCTGTGTTGCAGTAAATGCTGGTGACAGAGGTACATGAAAGATGCTTCCAACCAAGCCTGTTTGGATAGGCCTGAACCATCACGTTGCATTTTCCTTGAGAGAGCAGGAAGAGCATGTTTGGTTTGTGAGCCAGTGTGATGCCAGGTTCCCCTGGCTTTAACTTTTGCTCCTCTGACAAATGGAGTATTGACTTGGTGAGGAGACCAGGACAAAGCCCAGGGGCTCTAAGGGTCACACAGGGTGTTCTGCTGTGTGCTTACTGCCTATGTGAATATCCCCAAACCTAACCTGGTTGTGTGCTGCCTTCTTGCCCCCATAATGGCAGGTGGAAAGGCCGATGACATGTTACAGAGCACCAGGCTGGCCTGCTGGCTGAAGGAAGAAATGTTGATCTGTCTGGCCTGTTCTGCACCCAGGCTGTCTTGAGCTGACAGCCTGGTTGGAAGCCCTTGGCACTGTGTGGAGCACCCAGCTGAAGTGGAAGAGGGACTGAGAGCATTGCTAAGCCCACTGAGATTTGGAGAGCAGGTCTTTGTGATCCCTCTTGCCCTCTTACAAACTTACCTGTGGCTTGGTTTTCCAGCTTTGTGAGCAACTCAAGGTACCATAGTTGGCTTTATTTTTTCTTGCCTTTGGCATCAGGCTGTCAGTGGTGGCTTGTGTGATAAATGAAAGCAGCACCACACTGCTTCCATCCGTGGCCCTTCCGGAGGAATCTTTTGAGCACTGTGTTTGTTTGGTTTTTTTTTTTAGCTAAGAAAGTGCTGCCCTCAAAGATAAGATGCAGCACAACTGTCTCTCCAGCAATGGATGATGAATTTGAGCTGCTGCTGGGCCACCAGCACAATTGATGTTTCTGAAGCAGAACTTGAGACTTGCCCAGCCTGCAGAGCTTTACTTCAGGATTACCTGGAGCAGAGACCTCAGCTATGCTGTTAAATCCATCTGTCTTAAGATCCCTGGACCTTGGTGTAGAGTCTTTCACCAGCCTTTCTTGACTGAATGGTTGTTACAAAGGCTGAAAATGGGGTGTCACTGCTAGTAGGAGTTAGATTATTGCTGCAGAAATGCAACTACTATCACAAGAAAAGGGGTGTTTGTGTGAAGGTGTTCTTCAAAGCTTATGGCCCTATCCATTTAAAAGTGCTGGTCTGTGTATGACTGAAGATGGCCTTAGGTTTTATTGCTTTTTTTAAGGGAGCAGTTACCTAAATCCTTGCAAATAAGGGCCTTGGTCCACTGTAAGCAATAATCTGCCCATGCATGAAGAGTGAAGGCTGAAGGAATGGTAGATGCCCACCTGGAGAAGACCATCATTCTACTAAACGAATATAAACTGTGGTCAGCTAGAGACTGAATGTTTTACATTAACCTGAAGGAAACTACCTTGTTTAACCTCAACAAAAATATGCTTTGGGAGTGATTTGGTTTATTCATCTTGGCATTTGCAGTGATAGTATAGATGTCACACATTCCTGACAGATACATCTAACTTTTGAGTCTCCAGTGCTAGAGAGAGACCTTTTTTTTTGGAGGGGGGAGTAGGGGTGGGGCAGGGGGGTAGCCCCAGCAACCTACCCCATTGCTGTGAAGGTTTCCCCTGTTGTAGTCACATGTGCTGTGGCTGCATGAAGGCCATCCCAGAATAAAGTCAGTTCTATAGGGCTTCCTGGGTGTGTTCACACTGCGTGGAAGTTCAGCCAGAGTGTGGATGGCTGTCTACTAAATGAATGACAACATTCTCTCATCTGCAGTTTAGTTTTTGAAAAAACAGGTACACAACTGGATAGCAATAAATTCAGTCAACACAGGTTTCTTCATCGCTTTGGAGCATCTTTTTTGGGGAGGAAATCAACCTTGTGCTTTGAGAGAAGAGCTGTGTGGTGACTCTGTACAGCTGTTCTCCACTTCAGTTTTGGCCTTGGCATAAGGAGAAACTTGTGGTAGATCCCCTGTAAGTCAAGCCCTTATGGGGTAAGGTGAGTCAGTGACAGAGAGCAACAAGGACATTCACTTTATGTAACCAAGGCATTATCCAGACCTCGAAATAGCATCTCAGCATCTGCAAATAAAAGGGGAATTGGTGATGAAGTTCAAGTGACTGCTGGTTGGTCTATGCTGCGAGAGAACAGCATTGTTTTGTCTGCCCCCTTTATCCTAGGAGAAATACTGTTTGCTAAGTAATCATAACTTAGTGGGAAGCCCATATAAGGGTTTTCCCCTGCCCAGGAGATCTCTCTTCAGCCCCTACTCTTTCTGCATGGTTTCACTAAATCACCCAGGAATAGCTAGATGGCTGTGTGTGGTCCAGCTCCCTTCAGACAGGAGCTGGCCCTGGATGCATGAGAGGTGCTGTTTTGCTTGTATTGAAAACTTTACCTCACCCCAGCTGGCTGTCTTCAGAGGAAGCTTATACATCTATGAGAATATGGCAGACCTGGCCTGAAGTTCACTACACAGCTAGAGATGGCCAAGAATCACCTGCAGTTATTGGGTACCCCAAAGGAATTGGGCACATACCTGTTGCAGGTTTTTCTTTTTCTGGAAGTGGCAGCTGTCCAGGTTGGAGTGCTCCCTCTTCTCACACACGGTGCGTCCAATTTCCACATGAAGCATGTATTTCAGCCCTCTGACAAGCTAGAGAAAGTAGTTTCCCCCTTTAAAGTAAGGGCAGGGAAAAGAGATGCCAAAGTTTTGGCTAGGTATGGAGTGCTAGATGTGTGAGTTCTGTGTGGTGTTATAGCTTGAAGTGTTTTGTGTTGAATTACTGGGGGGGAGAGGAGGGGAATGGGACAGAGGGACATGCTCTGTTTATCTTTAGGCATGCATATATCAGTCTTGAGGAGGATCAGGTCTCCCATCTCTTGGGTGTTCTACAGGAGGGTCAATGGATAAATGGTTTGGAGGACCACGAGAAGTCTGGGATCTTCTTACCTGTACCATGGCTTTGTTAATTTGGGATTCCTTAAACAGAAAAAGATCATTGGAACTGTTGTTGTATCTGTAAACCCCAAAGCGAGCCGCCTTGCGGACACCAGGGTTGTTGGTGTTGATGGGGACAGGGAAGCCAGGTTTCGCCGTCGGGTGAGCTGGTGGTACCTGTATAGCTGAAACAACACAAAACGTGAGTGCTGGACACATCGGGTGCCCGAAACGGTGGGAGCTTCAGCCCTCTGAACCTGTGCTAAGCCTTCTTATTGTCCAGTGCACTTCAGAAGGACTCTGCTCACATGCGTTATAAAGTAATTTTCCTTTGTATCTTTGAAATGGTGAAACAATCCTGTGGAACGAAGTGATATAAAAAGACACTAACAGAAGCGGTAGCAGAGCTCAGATTGACCTAGGAGAAGCCAGAGTGTCATGAGTAGCTGGCCTGGCCTGCAGTGGGGTGGTAGATCTCAGTGCACAGGGGTTTTCCTGAGATTTTTCTTTGGTAGGGAAATGCCAGTGGAGCAGGAGACTCCCCCAGAAGCCAGCAGCTTTCAGAGAAGGGGCTGATGAGGCCTGGGCAGTGCCAGGGCTACAGTGACCACCTCCACACCTATAAAGGAAGCCTCTAAGGCCTCTAAGCTCTGCACCCACCATGACTGTGTCAGCCTCCCAGCTGGAGCTCCAGTGGGAACTTGCAGCCACCCGGGCGTCAGGCTGCGGGCTCTGCCCGGCTCTCACACCAGTGCAGAAGGGCAGCAGTGAGCTGTGGGAGGTGTGCCCAGGTAGGGGAACTCCTCTGCTTAATAGCAGAACCCTGGGAGGAGCTGAAGAAGCATCAGGGAGTGTGAGGTTGATCACTGGAATCCCATCCTGCCTTCCCGAGACAGGCTCAACAGTCAGGCAGGACACAGAGCACAGAGGATTCCCTTCCCCATCTCCCTCTGACCAAACAGAGTGACCAGAAGGAGAGGGGACAATGGCAGCAAGTTCCTGCCCAGCACAGCAGGCATGGCCCATCAGCAACAGCCCCACCTTCCCACGTGCTCTTGGGTAACAGGTATGAGGCCCTGTGGAACCTAATAATAATGAGGATGATGATTCATCAAGCTTAGGAGTGTCACCAAAATTAAGTCGGCCTGCACCCTGCATCAAAACTACTTCTGCAAATCAAGAAAGACATGTCATTGTCATAGGTGACTCCCTTCTGAAAGGAACAGCAGGCCCAACATGCAGGCCAGACACACTTTTTAGGGGAGTCTGCTGCCTCCCTGGGGCCCAGGTTAAAGGTGTGGTGAGAAAATTTCCTACCCTGGTGGATCATTATCCATAATGACTTTTCAGGTAGGCACTGACCTGTTTAGGAAACTAGTTGCCAGGGTCCTTTGGGAAGTAGTCCTGAAGGGCAAAGGAGTCCAGGAAGGATGGACATTCCTCAAGAGGGAAGTGTTTAAGGTGTAGGAGCAGGCTATCCCAGTGTGCTGTAGGATGAACTGATGGGGAAGAAGACGGCCTGGCTGAACAGAGAGCTTTGGCTGGAACTCAGGAGGAAAATGAATGTCTACGGCCTGTGGAAGATAGGACAGGCCACTCAGGAAGACTGCAAAGATTCCATAGGGCTATGCAGGCAGAAAATTAGAAAGGCCAAAGCCCAACTAGAACTTAATCTGGCTACTGCCAGAAAAGACAATAAAAAGTGTTTCTATAAATACATTAACAGCAAGATGAGGACTATGGAAAGCCACCATCTATTTGGTGCAGGGGGAGGGAAATACAGTGACCAAGGATGAGGAAGAAGGTTAGGTACTGAACACTACCTTTGCTTCAGTCTTGAATAATAAGACCAGTTGTTCTCTGAGTGCCCAGACCCCTGAGCTGGAAGACAGGAATAAGGAGAAGAATGAAGCCCCCATAGTCCAAGAGGAAATGGTCAGGCACCTACTACACACACAAGTCAATGGGTCTGGATGGGATCCATGCAAGGGCACTGAGGGAGCTGTTGGGAGTGCTCACCAAGCCACTTTCCATCATTTCTCAGCAGACCTACCTGTGCAGTAGATGGCTGTTGGAGTTCACACTGTGTGCACAAATGTGCACACAGAGCTTGCACTAAATTTGCTGTGAAAGTCAAGCTTTTTCTCACCTCCATTTTTTTTTTTTTTTTTTTTCCACAGCTATATCTCTCACTATCAGCCAAGCACAGAGCATAGACTGTTTAAACCAGTTTGTACCAAGAAACCTGAGTAGAGGAGAGAGTGGCAACCTGGTGGCCCAGAGCAAGGTGGGTATAAAATCTACTGAGCCCTTGTGGAAGAACTTTATCATCCTATTGTCCTCTGGCAATCCAGAATCCTCAAGTCTAGGATTTGGTTTTCTTTTTATGCTTTGAATTTTATTCAGGGTGATCACTGCATGGTAAACACATTGGTCTGAAGTCACTTTTGCTATTTGCAATAGTTTGTACCAATGTGTTTCTAAAACCCAGAAACTCTGGTGTGAGAGTTCTGGTTCTGTAGTTCTGTTTTATCTTTTCACCACAACCTTTGCTGACAGCTTCTTCCCTAACCTGGCCCCCGAAGGCCTTTACTTGAAAAAGTTGAATGTGTGTGAAGTGATGGCCTGGCTCCAGGAACAAAAGCAGAATGGTCCTGAGGATCAGATAACAGCATGGGTCTCTAGGCATACCAGTATTGGTGAAACACTTGTCTTCCAGGCCTGGGTGGGAGCAGAAGCACTGCATGACTTGGCCAGGCACCTACAATACCCAGGGGTTCAGATGATATGATCTCATGACCTGGAAAAATGGCTTTTACTGCTCTACAGGGAGGTTCTTAGGGCCAGACCATTTGTACTTCAGACTCCATCCTTGGCTCTGAGTTTGGAAATGTGAAGAAAGAGGGGAAAAATCTGTCTTGCCTCTTCCTTCTGTTGGACGGTAGTAGGGTAAAGTCGTTTGTTGCTCTGAGTTAACAGACAACTGCCTGTTATTAAGCAAGAGAGGGCTGTTCCTGCAGAGATGAGTCAAATATTGCATTAAGAGGCTCTCTTGTGCCTTCCTCATTGAAGAATAATTTTGGGGCCCTGTTTGTTCAGTATGAGAGAGCAATCCTATGGATGTTCTCTCCCAGCTTGCAGTGAAGCAAATAAGCAGATTGCAACAGGTTGATTTTTATCATGAGATACTTTCAAAACTTCCTCTCCATTACTAGGAGCAAGGCTAGGCTTTATCTTTACGTTTAAGGCGCAGCAGAGTTCCTGCTTTGCCTCTGCAACCCCCCAAGGAAACCACAACAGAAACAGAAAGCTGCTGGCTGACCATCATCCCCGAGTGCATTAGTACTTTCTGTGTATGGGAGCCCAAGTAAAACTGAAGCAGAACTAAAACCTTCAGAGAGAAAACACTCCTGTCTGCAGCTTCCCTTCTAAACACTTGAGGCCAGCTGCAATCAAGAGTTTCCTCGCTCAGCAAAGAAAGAAATGATGCGGAGTAATGTTTCATTACAGCCAGGTAATCGGCACTCAAGTGCCCATCTGTGCTCAGCAGTCAAATTGTTACCCGCAGTCTTTAGATTTAATAACCAAGGTCATGCAGAGTTTAAACACTGACAAATAAGTTAAAACATAAGTTGACTTTAAAACCCTTAGATGGTGTCCCTGGATAACCTAGTTCCTTACAAGGGGAGAAGGTCTTTTAAGCAGTTGGATTTTCAGCTGCGGTCTGAGCCCCACGGTGCTGAGCCAGCACGGGCAGTTGGAGAAGGGCTGTTACTTACTAGTGCGTCAGAAAGTGGCACTCTCAGGACCTAAAGGACGAGGAAAACAGAAATTATGTTCCACTCTTACTACCTGAAGTCCTAGCGAAGCTCCAGAGCGCCAGACAGCAGAGCGCGGCACGGCTGCAGGAGAAGTTCGCTGCCATCTCCGCCGCTTCGGAAGAGGAGCCCGCCAGCCACGGGAGTCACTGCCCTGCTTCCTGCAGGGCAAGACCTGCCTCTTTCACTGCTCTCATTGGCTGGGACGAGAGACAAAACCACCACCTTACACTCCATGAATCATCACAGCTCAGATGCAGCCTGTCTCCTGCTACTGACTGTTGGTGATGGTAGTGCCCGTCCTACACCAGATGGGGACTTTTGCTTCATGGTCCTCAGGGGTTATGCAGAAGCATGGGCAGATCTGTGTGATGTAACACTGGAAAGTTGTGTGGGGGTGAGGAGAATAAGAGTCCTGTGCTTTAAGATTCATGGGGAAATGTAATCCCTAAAAAATGGGCAGTGAGCCCTGGGGATGTTGTTCTTGACTTGTATATAGGTGTCTGTGTGAGGAGAAGCCTGACAAGACAAGATGGGCCCAGTGTCTTGCTTCCCGTGATGTGGAGGTGCATGAGACAAGGAAGTTTTAGGGGTACCGACCTGAGGGGGTGTTTGAAGCAGAGGAAGAGGATTTTGGTTTTGGTGGCAGAAGAGAAAACTGTGCCTCACATTTACAGAAGGTGTTTTGACAACAGGAAGGGGCTGTGTTAGGCTCAGAGGAGGTGAGATTTTCTCTAGGTGCTTTCCATAGAACAAGAGAAACATGGGGAGAAGGGTAGTTTGTCTCTCTGTGGCTTGCAGAGCTTTTCCGCTCTGGGGTTGGATTCCTCAGGATCAGTGCTTGGTTTCAGAGAGGTCCTCTCCAGACAGCGTTGACCCATGCTGAGAAGCTTGCAAGGCTGGGTAAAGGGCTTGGTTGCCAGACCTCATGATGCATCTGGAATAACCAGCTGCCAGATTCAGGAGATGAACTGATGTCTCACTGAAGGGTTGAGAGTGGTGGACATCAGTCTGTGTACATGCATTTGTTTCAGGTGAGCAGGAAGGTGATGGTTGCTTTTCACTTGCCCCAGCAATGAATGTGCTCCTTTCTGAGCAAAGATGTCTTGTTGCCTGAAGGAAGATCCTAACACAGGACAGCGTGGGTGGTGCATAAGACACTAGAGGAAACGAATCTTTGTGTTTCCTTGTTGGAAGGGATTAGGTAAACCCCCTGTTGAAACATCCCACCAAGAAGGAACAGGGCAAGCATGGTGAGTCACACTGATCACCAGTCTTATTTGCACAGACCTTCTGAATCAGACTCCAAAGCTTGCAGAAAACACTGACAGAGAATGAGAGAGACTATATTGGGGTTTCCCCCCCATACCCCCCTATTTTTTAGAGCTCACACAGTGGCCTGTCCTTCAACTGTGGCACAGGTAGGGACTAAATCAGGTATCTTCAGCCCTCCATTTCTCCTAAAGAAATGTGCTCTACAGTTCCTACCTCACTGAGAGACTTTGAGGGTAGGTGTCTTTGTAAGTCTAGCTGAGTCCTCCAACATACAAGAAAGGGGTGGTTGGGATCATCATCAGCATATCCCAGCACATCTCCTGTGTGTTGCAACAGCCTGTTTGTCACCCTGCCACGTGATACAGCAGAACGAGGTTCAGCCTTCTTGCAGGACATCCATCTCTTCTCTCTGCTTCACGGTGAACTCATAGTCTTTTGATTTGAATCAAAAGGGGCTCTGGGTGAGGGATTTGGATCTTTCTAAAGGGTAGGTTCTTTCCTTGCTTAAAACAAGCGCCTTGGGACACCAGTAGCAGCCCTTTGATACGGCTTGGTGCGAGGGCTGACGATGACTAATGAAGGCAGAGAGGATGGTGAGATGCTGGAGTTGCAGGGCCAGCTCTGTTGACACTAGAGGGTACCAGAAGGTGCTCCACTGTGCTGGAGCCCAAGCTTGTCTTGTCCAATCACCCACAGAGCATCTCGAGCGGCTGCTGCTGTGTTACTGCTGACCTGAGGGCTGGGGAGATTGGGGTGCCCATGTGTGGAGCCCCTTTGGTACAGAAGCCAAAGGCAAGTGCAAACCTTGGGTGGGGCTGAGTTGTCCCCTGTAGAGCAGGGACAGGCCCCAGGGACAGTGGCCCTGTTTCAGCCTCATCCAAAACTCGCGATGCCTCAGGCACTCTCCTTGCCTGGGAGGCTGGCTGTGGTCTTGAAGGACCAGCTCTTGGACATCTGATGGCTGGTAGAGAGGAGTGTGCGCTGGCTGTCGGGGTACAAACCTGACTTGTACTGCCTTCTGCTGGCTTGCTGTGGTGGCATCTGTGCTGCCACAGACTTTCTCCTGGGGAGCTCATGGCCAGCTCTAGGACCTGCTCTTTCCTGAAGAGCACTGTTTCACTGTTCACAGGGTTTATAAAAACAGACAGTGACTTCAAGAAAGCAGCATGGATCTGCAGAGAGCACATTTTTTTCTGCCTTCTTCCCTATCCCCTTCTTTCCATTAAATTGCTCATTTACAACTCTTGCAAATAAATTTCTCCTTTTTCTAGTGACCCTTAGATGATTCTGTTCAGGAAGTTTCTCCAGTTCTTTTCTCCTAGGAAGTAACAGTGTGGTCACTAATGAGTAGTAGTATTACTGCTACTTATTACTTTTCTGTGGTAATTTTTGTGCCATGGAGGAACCTGTGACTGGAGACTTGGAACTGTTTCCCTTTGCCCTGTCTCATTCTAACCAGGTTCCATCTCCCAGAACACTGGTCTGTAAGCGAAATCTGTCTGCAGGAGGAGTGGAGCAGCATCATGTCTCACCTGACATCCAACCATGGAAAATAAGTCAGAATCTCTTCTTGTTGGAGCTCCCTCAGGGTCCCTGATGGGAATTTCACCCACTTTCACTAGAACATGTGTAGACCACCTCCTCTACACCAGCACAGGACACGTGGGGTACTCCATGATGTAGTTTCCTCTCTCTAAATTTTCCACTGTGTGACTGGTCCTTGTGTGAGCAGAAATCCTGAACAGGGAGAAGATGAGAGTAAGTGGGCAAGGAGAGGCTCACTGATTATCCCAGGATAAACAGAGCATTTGATTTAAGCAAATAACTAGCATCAACTCAGTCTAAATCAAGAGTGTGATCCTTCTGAATTAACCTGGGTTAAACAGATCTTAAAAGACTTGTGAAGAACCCTCATGTATATTTTTGTGAGTAAGGAGTGTTTATTGCAAGACATGGAGTATCAGTTCTGCTCTCATTTCTGCAAGGAAATGTGCAGAAATTTCTGCACCTCTCACCACTGGACTGGGTTACTAGTGGCTTTGGAAGCAGTGTGCAACTGCAAAGACTTTTTGATTAAAATAAAAATAAATATATCCATATTTTATTATTCATAAATCAAAGATGTAATTATGTCCTCTTTTTCTACTGAAGGAACCAAAACCCACAGTACCAGCAATTTGATTTTCATGACATTTGGTGCAAGAAGTGGACTTCTTCAGCATCACTTTTTGCTTCTTTGGCCACACAGCACAACCCAGCAGCTGCCACTGTGGCTTCCTGGAATAATGCCAGTGGAGTCTCTGAGGGATCATGCTGGAATTACAGCCCTGTAAATGCAATCAGCTTCTATATCCCTGCACCCACAATATTTCCTTTCCAGTTCTGACTCCGTTTTTGCAGTTCACCAAGCAAATCAGTGGGGGAATTTAAGAAAAATTAATCTCATTACCTTTTCTAGGGACTTGGAGGGCGACTGGCATGTGTTTGAATTGCACTTTCAAAAGTTTTAATTAAGACACATTTACCAGTGTCAGTAGTCGTGGTTTTTTTCTTTTAATCTTTCTTACATTTTCCAGGCCTTCATCTGATCCCCAGGACTGCTAATTTAGTTGGCTTTGCTTTAATGAAGGATCTGACAAAAGGAAGCTTTTTTGGCTCTCAGTTGAAATAAAGAAATTGCCACATTTCAGCTTTTGGTAGACTAGTACACAGGAAAACGTGTTACTTTGGCAGAGTGGCAATGGCAGATTTTAAGCCTTTAAGGTGAAAGAGCTGGCCATGATGTCTTCTCCCACACTGGAGACCTTCAGGTAATTTGGCATTTCTCTTCCAAGATGTCCTGGAAATGAATCCACTGTGTATTTGCCAGCCTGCACTGGACCTGTGGAAATGGTGCAGCATGTTTTGAGGACTCGAGACCGGTTGGTCCCTTGTCCAGGTCTCTGCTGGGTTTCCCCACTCTGTTTGCACTCACCTTCCATCTGCTGGTGTTTTTAGTGCTCACCCCCATATTTCATCATTCTCTCCAGACAGAGTGGGTGCTTTTGACAAGAGAATGGTTAGTGCTGTGCTCTGGTTTAAGACCCAGGTGTTGGAAGGTGGTGTTGAAAGGCAGGGTCCCTGTGCCTTGCTGTATGCCTAACTCAGGAACATGATTGGCAGGAATGATTGCTCCTAGGGCAGAGGGGCTTACTGAAGACAGAACGTGCTGCGCTCACTGCCTCTTTTTAAATAAGATGATTCCCTCCTCTTTTGCGGGGGAAAACGACTGACTTCATAGCTCTGAATGCACCGAAAGCATTTGCCATGGTGTCCTGTGGGCAAGGACATGGGGAAGCTGCAGAGTCAGAGCTGCTAAACAGGCACCCAGGTGGCCAAAGCAGGGGTTGCAGGGGAGGCTGTTTCAGGCTGGCAGCCGGCAGGGATGGCCTTTCAGATGAACACTGTTTTCTGTATTCAGGCTGAGTCTTGGCACAAGCCACAAAAAAAGCAAGTGTAAGACAGACTGAGGCACATTGGTGCTGCAATGTGTGCCCGTGCCTGCAATGCAGCATGTGCTGCAGCTCTCCCAGTATGAAGTGGGACAAATAGCTGTGTTTAAAAATCCTGTTCAGAGCTCCGTGGAGCTTCTCTATCTGGCAGGTACACTGGCACTCAGCACTGCTGAGAGTTGGATCTGGCAGCTGCAGCCTGCCTCTCCTGTGCCGTGTTCCCTTCTACCTCCACTGCCAGCCCTTTCCTGGTGCTTCACACCCGTGAGTAGCAACCATAAGCTGATTCGAGGTGGGATCAAGCTGTGATTTCATATGCAGGTGGCAACACTAACATGTGC